TGCAAGTATCTTTGCTAACATGCCCTCCTTAGACCGCGTCGCGATGTGATTGCTGTAGAGAAGGGAGGTGTGACGATCCGATTCCGCGGTAGGCTTTCCTCTCTCGAATATCTGATTCTTGACGTCTGAGTCTGCATCAACGCACCAGCTGATAACCCCGGGCCCTGGTTCCTCCACTGGTAAGCCTTTTTCGAATTTGAGATCGAACCCGCTAACACAAATTCGCAGCCACATCGATTGGCATCTTGAGTAATACCCCTCCATTTCAACAACGACTCTGCATTGACCGTGTTTTATAGGGCTGGACTGGCGGTCGTGTTCGCGGAATCGCCCCCGCAGCAGCGTGTTGGCCCTCAGTCTGAGATTATCACTCCCCAGTGGCTCAACCTCTGCCCGGCCTACTACGGCCAACCTGAAGGTCGGTAGCAGCGCTTTTCCAGCACACGCGAGCACTGATGTCCGTCCTCTAATTCAGAGTTCCAGTGAGGGCTGTATCCGCGGAGCTTGATCTATAAACACCCCTCTGCTTCATATCTATCCGCCGGGTTTCTTTGTGATTGTCTATATACATGCGAAATGAATGTTTGTTACACATTTCGCGGTGTCTGCCATGCCCGTTTTGCTTCAGCCACTCTAAACATGGTTCAACGGTGCCACACCATCGCCCTCACCATCGCCCTCTTCCTCCTTCTCGTCCGCCATTCTCGCGGTCTTCAGCGTCGGCACATATACACATCTATCGACTCTGCGGCGAGTCGAGGTTAATTGATATCGCATCCAAGGCGCCGAAAGCTTGTTCGACTCAGGCCTGCGTCATGTTGGCCAAAGAAGCCATTATTTTTGCCTTCTCTCTATCTCGTTCCTTCGCCGTCTCAAGCCAGACATTACCTATCGCTCTTCTGCGCTGAGGAAACTTCATAGATGAATGCTGGTCGTAACTAGACTTGGACATATGTACTTGACATATGTACTTGATATCGACCCGTTGCTCGCAGAAGAGAAAAATGTGCCCAGCAAAAGAGGAAAACACTCAGATTCAATTCTCCCAGCCTTCAACTTCCCTCCTTACCGCCTCCAAGAAATCTTCCGTGCCCTTCACGGGCACCCAGCCCAACGCGCGCGACCTTGCCGACTCCGCCCGCCCATTGTCGCCGATGAACGCTTGGAGCGTCAGCTACCATACAATAAATTATCAGTGAAATGGAAGAGAGTCGCTGATGGAACGCGCCTGTCCCGGGAAGAAAGCATCCAACTCCTCCTGCGTGAACGTTCGGCGCGCCCCCGCGCGCGTCTCCACCACCTCCGCGAACTTGACGAACGGAACGTGTGCGTTGGAGACGAAGTAGTATCCGTGCGTCCCGTGCGCGGTGCGTTTGGCGGTGGCGGCGTGATAGAGCGTCTCAACAAGGTCAGCCGCTATACCGATATAGTCAGGATGACGAAGAGTAATGGATATCATGAACAGAGCACAAACTTTCAGTGACATCGACGATAGAGATGAGGTTCTTCCCCTCGCCCACGAGGCCAGCGGCGCGACGCGCGAACGACGCCTTGATGTACCCAGTCACCGCAAAGTTCGTCGGGTTCTGCACACCGGCGTCGGCCAGCAGACCGTGCGGCGTGCCGAAGACGAGGCCGGGGAAGACGATGTAAGAGTCGATGTATCCTGTAACGTGTTCTCAATATCATGGTCGAGGCTGAGAGGATAAAATAAGCAGCGCGTACCTTGTGTATCGGCATCTATAATCGCGAGGTCGACGTTGTGGTGTGGTTGGGTCACGGCGAGGGTCTCGATTTGTTGGATATCTGTGTCGTTGTAGACCGTCTCTGAAGCGAACATGCCTTTGGCGCCGTCCCCAAGACATCCTGCGCACATGGATGAATAAGTAGATTTTGATGCTGAGGAATGTCAGACGCACCGGTTCCAGACTGGGAGATACATACATCAACAGATGTCGGGTAGCAACTGTGAGAGTACTCACCATGTGAAGCAAGGTGGGCTTAATGCCAGTGGATCCAAACCGCCGTTTGAGACCGCGCAGAATCGCCTCTGCGGCTTGCAAGTTGTCGCAGTCCGCCTATAGACCGCGTCAGTTCAGAGCCTCTGCACTCATAATTTGCATCTGGTACTAGGGAAAAGACAACATCGGCATCGGCAGCTAATTGTTCGACCAGCGGGGCATCGTTGTGGGAGCCAATGACGATTTTGAGCTGCACATTGAGTGCACGCAGCTTTTCAGCCTTATCGACTGAGCGAACGAGGGCGGTGAGCTTGATATTTGGGTCCGGCTTTTCGAGGAAACGCGACAGAATCGGGCCACCGATGTAGCCTGCAATTATTTCAGCTCCAAAACACAACCATTGCACAGGAGGAGCTATCAAATACCTGTCCCACCGATGAAGAGTATGTTCTGCATGTTGGAGAAGAGGGGTTGAGTGCGGAGTGTTGCGTGAAGAGCTGGCACCTGTGGCCGCTTTATACGAGGGCCCAAAAGTTCTTTCTGTAAATAAGCCTGCTCACCAAGCGGATGAGTAACAAGCTTTCTAAAGCCAAGGATACACTTACGAAGCAGATTCCGAGTTGCTTTCCGTGGTGTCGAATCGGGAGTAGCCGTTGACATCTCCGCCATTCGAGGAACAATTTGACCCACCGTATCCCGAGCGGCGAGATGGCAGGGAGGCATTGAGTAATGAACTTCCGAACGATTGAGTAGAGAACGGGGCGAGCGATACGCGGAAAACCAGATGAGCTGGCCAGCATTCAGGCCAGAGCTTCGCGTCGCTTTCCACAGCATTATAATTAGCGTTCCACGGGACGCGTCGATTCAGATAGACAACCAGTGGGTTACAAATGCTGGAGAACAAGAACTTAATGCGCCTCACGAATCTAGCATGCGAATCCAGAGAGCTACTTGCACGACATGGTGGCAGGAAGCAAGAGCGAGACTGGTTTGTTCCGGTCGGAAAAAGCCGTGATCGGTCGGTTAGCTGGCGTTGATTTACATCACATCAATTCGCCGTCGACAAAGCTGACCGCCACCACTAAACCTTGACCAGTCGGCCCTCCATTGGAATTGACCACCGGCGTATTTTATGAGACAGACAAAAATTGTCTTCAGTACCACCCATGACTCGAGCCAAATCAAACCGGCAACCTATGTTGAGCAACTTGAACGGGCGATATAGCAACAAGCCCACCCAAAGTAGGCGCGGATCTTCCGCCAACGAGTCTTCCGTAGCCTGCACCTAGGTTCAACAAATTCTGTAACGAGAGTTCAGGAAATATTCAGCCTTTAGTACGATCTAGTGCCGTTTTGAAGTTCGAAAAGTACCTTGTGCTACGCGTCGAGCTCACAGCCGCCTCTTACCTTTCCCGATCCACGTCCTCGACGCACACATCGTCCCATGATAGGGTTCGTGCCTGAAACAGCGGCAGTAAAGTCTGAGGCGACTTGTTTGGTCCAGACTAGCAGCAAGAAAAGCGACATAAAAATGTCCGCAATCTTTGATGACTCGAGCCCGAATCGAACAGGCAAGTTCCACAGACAAATTAACCGCACCAAGCCTTTATGCAGAGTGGATGCGAACCTCCCGCCATCGAGTCATCCATAGCCTGCAGCGATATCATACAAACAGCACCAGAAATTGGGTGTTATTCGCCAGCAATTCTGATTTGATCCAACGCCTGTCCAGGGATCTTCAATGGGATTCCCCGCGGTGGATCTGTGAACTCACGAACAGCTTCTGAGTTCTCCCAATCATTCCATGTAGATATTCACGCCGCGTCCCAGGATCAGTTTGGTACCTGAAGTTTCCTGCCTCTTTTAGTTTAGACTGAAAGCAAGGAAAGCGGCATAAAAATCTTCGGCCCAATCGTGTTATGACTCGAGCCCGAATCGAACAGGCAACATCCACGAATGCGAAAGAAACATTCAAGAGACCCAAAGTGAATGCGGACCTCCCGCCACCGAGTCTTTCATGGCCTGCAGCGAGGTTGAACAGACGGCGCAGCAAATTCCGTGTCGAGTGGTCTGTCGACCAGGTTGACTTTCCTCCCTGAGCTTATCTTCACTTGGACCGGCACTTCAGGCTGGAATTTGCATGCCATTTTACGCGTGATATCTGTGCACTCACGCCGCACGGCTGCCATAGAAGGGTAAAATAAAAGTCCTCGTGCCAGCGGCCATGACTCGAGCCCGAATCGAACGGGCAACACCCACAAATGTGCGATACCGTAGTATTTCGCTCAAATCGATAGTCACGCGTCACGCGGACCCCTATCGATATCGAAATTTGGTCGATGTCACGCGTCACTCGGGTCAGTATCGAATTGGTCCAGCGGTTCAGAAAACAATCGCAGAATGCAGATAGATTCGTGGACATATTTGCCGAGCCGTTGCGGCCATTTTGAGCTCAAAATTCGCCCGATTTTCATCTCGGACCCCTCAAATACCGTTTCAACCCAACTTCTGGCGTGAACTCGCGGTCAAAAGAATGTTGGAACAAAATTTGTTGAAGGCTTTTTAGTGCATAGCTGTATATTGGATGACTGTGCTGGCACAAAATACCAATGAACGTGCATCATCCCGGTTGATTATCGAAATTTTCGTCTCTGTCACGCACCTTGCAGCCTGCTATCGGAAGCTCGAATTGGTTGAAGAAGTCACGCGTCACGCTATGGTTCGATTTGATCGAAATACTACGGTATGTCCAACACCCAAAGTGGATACGCACCTTCCGCGATCGAGTCTTTCATGCCATGCCGCGAGGTTGAATAGATGGAACAAAATTCGAGGTCGAGTGGTTCAATGGTTCAAGTTGATGGCGCTGGTTTTTTAACTTTCCTCCCCGTGCCTTTTCCTCGCTGTTTCATTCTTATCTCCACCTGAACCAAAGTTCGGGATGGCATTTTACTGGCGTCTTCCGCGTGATGTGCATGGACGTCTGCCCTTGGATTGGAATAGCAGACAAAAATAAGAAAAAGCCGTCGTTTACATCCATGACTCGAGCCCGAATCGAACGGGCAACGCCCACAAATTTGTCCAGACCCTGCAGGAACCCTAAGTGGATGCGGGCCTTCCGCCATCGAGTCATGTTTGAGCTTGAACAGACGGCACAGCAGAGTCGATGTGCAATGATTCAATTGATTTAACTTTCCTCCCCGTGCCTTTCCCTCACTGTTTCATTTCCAACTTCACTTGGATCGGCACTTCGAGATGGAATTGTACTGGCGTCTTCCGCGTGGTACGTCTGTGATAGACTTGAAACAAAAAGGAATGGACCTCGAACCAATGACTCGAGCCCGAATCGAACGGGCGACATCCACGAATTTTATCGGCCGACTTCTCAACTCAAAGTGGATGCGGACCTCCCGCCATCGAGTCTTCCAAGCCCTGCAGCTAAGTTGAATAGAAGGCGCCGTAAATTCGGTGTTGAGCGATTCGAGTCATGATAGCGCTGGTGTCACTTTCCTTCCTGGTTTGAATTTCTTTGTTGGACGCTGGCTGGATTACATATGTTCCCTTGGAGCTCTGAAATTCGAATGCCAGCTGCTGCGTGATATATGTGCACTTTCTTCCATTGTGTACGATAGAGTCGTAAAAAGAGTGGCTTTGACACCAGTATCCATGACTCGAGCCCGAATCGAACGGACGAAATCCACAAATGCGCGCAATTTCTTCCACACCTAAAGTGGATACGGACCTCCCGCCACGGAGTCATGTTTGGCCTGCAGTGAGGTTGAATAAATTGCGCAGCAGCTTCAATGTTGAGCGATTCAATTCTTGGTTGCGCTGGTTTAACTTTTTTTTCCCGGGTTGACTTTCCAATCGGTGCCTTTTACCACAAGATAAGGATTTAATTATCTTCCGTGTGATATCGAACTCACGGCGCACGGCTGCTACAGAACTTGAGGGCAGAAACAAAAATAGACTTCACTTCCCAGACTAAAGACTCGAGCCCGATTCGAACAGGCACCATCCACAAACTTTACCGGACACAGCGTATGCAAAGTGGATGCGGACCTTCCGCCACCGAGCCATGTATGGCCTGTAGCTATATGGAATAGGTGGCTCAACAGATTAAATTCGTCGGTGTTGAGAGGTCGATTCTTTCCCCTTCAGCTGTAGTAATTCAGCTGGTGCTGTAACTCGTACGTTCACTTGGATCGCCGTGGAACACTCCCTTCCCTTGTGTGAGATACAGTTGGAAAAAGAATGGCTTTCACCCCAACATCCATGACTCGAGCCCGACTCGAACGTGATCCACAAACCGTATTTTAGGCAAATTGGATGCGGAGCCTCCGCTACCGAGTCTTTCATGGCCTGCGGTGATGTTGAACAGATGGCATTCGTCGCTGTTGGTTTTTTTTTTTGGCATTTTCGCACTGAAGTTTCAAACCGTCCCTGTATGTTCAGTTTTTTTTGTTTCTTCCCAGTTCCACCACACTCGGCGACTCGCCACTTGCGTACCGGCCGTCTAGCTCAGTTGGTTAGAGCGTCGTGCTAATATACCGATCATACGGTGATGTATACGCGAAGGTCTTGGGTTCGACCCCCACGATGGCCATTACGCTTCCCTTTGTGCTTTTGGTCTACCTCCTTCAATGCCTTGTTGCTTTCTGTTTTTCAGTTAGCTCTATCATTTCTTTGCCATTGCCCATGGTCCATATCTAGCGTAGCGTCGTCTGCCAATTTTTCACGAAGCCGTAACAAAATGTTTTGAGTCTCCGAATTGCGTCAAAGTACGTGTAACACGTCACGCCAACGTCACGCGTGACCTCTCTCACAACTTTCTCCCACACCCAATTGCCCACACCGTCACCATCTCTTGCCCTGCGGGCCGTGACGGCGAAGCGCCGAAGTGATTCTTCAATTGCAACACGGAGCAACACGGTTTCCTACGGTGCAACGTGTTCTCCTATTGAAAAAGGATGGCTTGGGCCGCTGTGTAGTCCGTCTCAGGCTCCTGTGAGTCCTTAGGCTACCGCGGTCCGCTGTTATCTAACCACAGCTTCCTGGCTCAAAGTTGCTCTTTCTAGCTTTCTTCTGAAGTTTAACTCGCCCCTCTGCTGTCGGTGTGCAATAAACGGCAGAAATATCGACAGGGCAGCGTCCTCAAAGCGTTGTGCTGCGGACTTTGCTGCGGAGTTTTTATTCGCAAGTTCCCCGGATCTCCACGTCGAAGCCCAGTGTCGCCGCGCCCTCGACGCCGGATCATACCGATCACAAGCATCGGGCACGTTGCCAGGGCGTGTTACGCCTAAATTTATCGATTCAGAATCCGGATGATGATATCTGCCCGCCTCTTATAGCAGCCAGTCCACTGCCCGTGCGCGCACTCTTCCCCTCCACCGTGCCACATCGACGCCCCCCTTTTCCATGTACTCCAGCAGCACCCCGCTGTATGGTGCCCCGCGCCCGATCGTCTCCGATGGGAGCCGGAGCCCCAATCTCGCGAGCTTCGAGGTGGAACATGTCTCGCGACCGCCGTCTGCGATGGGAAACCGGTCGCCCGCGCAGCCTGCGGTGGATCCGGAATTCGTCTATCGGGAGCACGTTTCGAGGCTCATTGGCGCCAAGTCACGGCCGTTTACGGTGTCAGGGAGGATCCCGCTCGATCCTTCGCAGTTAGTGCTCTTCTTTCGGTCCAAGGCGCGCGATCATTTTTGCTTTTGATAATTATTGCTGAACCTTTAGGTTTGGCTACCCAGGGGAACTTGCGTTTGGCCCACTTTTCGTCCACATGTACAAACAACATTTAGTCACTCAATGTTAGTCATTGAAAAGAAAAATTGTAACGAGAACAGAACAGCACAAAACAATAGCAGAAAAACTGTCAGAAAGTTCATTAGTACCTTCCCCTGCTAAGGAATCTGTATGTATTCTTTTCGTCCTTAGCAAACGGAGCAACCGTTCAAGTTCGGTTCTTGCAGATTGGTCATTTCTACTTCGTGTTTCGGTAGGCATCCGAGGCTAGTCAGTTCTACGTAGTCAGGTCGGCATCGGTGATGTCCGGTGCCGGCAGATTCAAGATCAAAGTGTGTTCGAAAGTTGAACCAGCCGCGCTCTGAACCACGCACGTACAGTCCCGGTTTTTGAGGATACATACCGGTACCTGTCTTTCAAATGTATGTAAGCTCACTAGGCAACAATTTAGGGACACATTTTCAAGTTCCTCTGGTTGCAACTCGAGAAACTTACTTGAATTATTTTCTGCAATGCACAGATAATCGAAGCGTCAGCGGAGAGTCAAATCCCAGCCTGCAGACCCCGGCAGAACTCATGAGCAAAAGCATATAAGCTCACAGGAGCACAAGAAAGTACAGGGATTTTGATTTGGACAAGATTGACAGTGGTTAAGTAACTTAGTAAGTACATGCATGGATAAACACTTACCAAAGTGACCAATCCGAGTGGGGCTATATCAATCAGACTCCAAGAGAGCCAAACGGTGCCTCAGGCTGCCCACTGTAACATTAGCCAAGGCTGGGAATCAGCAACAAAGACTCCAACAACTTTTAAGCAGTTTAGGCGCTAGGGTACCCTTGTTAGTACATTAAAAGGGACTTTTAGATTGGTCAAATTTTGAATGCCCAACCACATGTCGCAAACTGATGAACATTAGTAGCGGTCAGAGTAGGTGATTGTGGCTCGATTGTGACGCGGATTGTGAGATGGATTGTGGGATTTATTTTCCACCACAATCGTGGGACAATCGACTTCACTCTGACCGCCCCATTTCTGGAAAGGATTCTGTCGCCGATTGTGCCAACGATTGTTGATCAATAAGAATACACGCACAATCGCTTTCACAATCGCATGCACAATCGACTCCGGAGTCGATTGTGCGATTCTTGGTCGATTGTGTATTTCGACGATTGTCCCACGATTCTAGTGCAAATTAAATCCGACAATCGACATCACAATTGCTGCCACAATCGGACCACAATCGCCTACTCTGACCGCTACTATTACAACACAGAGTCAGTGAGATTTAGTCCCGTTGAAAAAAAAGGATTGAATGCTCGACCAGAGCTCACAAACTGATGGACATTACAACACAGAGTCTGTGAGGTTTAGTCCCATTGAAAAATGACCGCTTGTCTGGTTCAACAAGTCTAGGTCATGTTTCACAAAGCTCTCGCAATGGGAGATGCGGGCGAAGTGTACACGGGATTCAAATTGTCTACATCTTGTTTGACTCACCACAACTCAGGCCTACAACCTAAAGGTTCAGCACCCGCCTCGGAGAGGCCTAATCCCAAGTCATGTTCAAGTTCGATTCTAACTCTACGCAACCCTCCCTTAGACTGGAATCACCCACTCCCTCGATTTCCCCATCGACATGGACTACGGCTCTCCACCCGCGCTCGATGTACTCATTGCAGCATGCAAGCGCACGCAAACGCCCGGTTACGACCCCAGCCTCTACGAAGCCTTCCACTACCCGCCCACGCTCCCACTAACCCCCTCGCTCGAAATCGCCAACCACCCCATCCTCGACGCCATCCGCAACACGCTCTTCCCCACGCTCCCCGTGGGGCACTACCTCACCGTCCGGCGCGAGCGCCTCGACGTCCTCCTCGCCGGCAGCCGCCTTCCCCCGCAGCCGCGCCCAGCCAGCGCCCTGCGCACCGACGGGCGCCTCGCCACTCTGTGCATCACCCTCCCCGTGCGCTTCCGCGGCGGCTCGCTGCTGATCCGCGACGCGGAGGGCAGCGGCGAGAAGCTCGACACGGCCGCGCCGACGGGCGACCTCGAGTGGACGGCGTTCCTCGGCGAGTGCGAGTACGAGGTCGACACGGTCACGCATGGGTGTCGTATGAGCATCTCGTATGCGGTGTTCGCGAAGTCGTTTGGCGGGGGTGGGGGCGGCGCGGCGGGGGCGGACCCGCTGTTCACGCCGAGCCAACCGTTTTTGGATTTGTTGCCGCCGGTGCTGCAGATGTCGCGCGGGCGCAGGATTGCGTTTTTACTCGCGCACGACTACGACGTCGATCCGTCTGTGATGCTTGCCGAATCGCTCGTTCCATTCGTGCGTCCCCCCTTCCTTCCCCCCATCCCCCCTTCCCCCCTTCCCTCCTTCCTTATTTCATCCCATCTACCCCATTGACATTATGGTTTTTATTCCCAGCTGAAAGGCGGCGACTCCGTCCTCTACCAGTCCCTCAAGCTCTACAAACTCGCACCCGTCCTACACTACAGCGCCGGCGGGTACATCTGGCCCGTCGACCGCCCCGTCGAGATATTCAACGACGAGTCCGCCCCTCCCGTCCCTTCCTCCTTGCCTGCTTCTTCTATGTCAATGGGCGGGGCGATGCCTGCGTCCCTGGGCGGCTCGATGCCGATGCTCTCCTCCCCGTACCCCTCGCCGCCGAACCCGCACGCACAGCCCCGTGGGTCCCCGCCGATGCGCGGGATGTTTAGCAATTCGCCGGGTATGAGTATGCCTGGTGCGGGGGGTATGCCGAACAACGTGAACATGAACATGCCCGGCGCGAATCCCAACATGAATCCCAACATGCCGGGGATGCCTAATAGCGCGACAAACCAACCACCCCCGCTCGACACCCTCCGTCTGCGCGTCGAGGAAAGCGGTGCGGTGCCGCTCGCGGACGCGGAGGTGACGTTGCTCAGGTATCTTTTCTTCCTTCTTCCTCTTCCCTCCCCTTCCTTATTTCTTTCTCCCCCCATCCTTCCTTCCTCCCTCTCCCTCCCTCCTCCCTCCTCCCTCTCCTCCTCCTCCCCCTTATCTTTCTCTCCTTTGCGGATATCAATTAATTAATAAATCCGATCTCACAGCGACTGGCGCGCCCCCGCCGAAACCACCCCCGTCGGCAAGGCGCGCGTCCACTTCGTCGCGGGGGGGATGCTGGAGAAGCTGGTGGTTAATGTGTTGTTGGTTGCGTTTGTGCATTAGGGTCGTGTGTTCGCATCGGTGGGTTAAGAAGGGGAGTGGGCGAGCTGGGAGTGGAGTGGGTTGCATAGGGAAGGGCGTGGGCGAGTGAAGGGTGGTTGTGTGTGGGGATGGGCGGGTTGACTGCACGCTCATGTACTGGTTCGATTTGCAACATACTCTAATTTACACGCTATGCATCTTTTTGTCGGTTTTGGTTCTGGCATTTGTTTGGGGAGCCCAAGTAACCCGTTCGAACATTATCGCCTCCCAATCCCGCAAGCACTGGACAGAATATTTAGCGGCACACCTTTGGCAGAATCATGGGCAAGAAGCAGGCTGAAGGGACGCGCCGACACCAAAAAGAGGCACGGTCAGAATTTAAGACTACGGTCTGATTCGAACAGACATCGGGACACACACAGTCGAGCTCGTGTCTCGCGCGGGTACCGCCCCACGGAGCCATTCTTGCAATGGATTGAAGGATGGACGTGTGTGCGCTTTTAAAGTCAATTCTCGCCTCTATGGCATGCAATGGAGAACTAAGATCATAAGAGGGCCGGCAGTTGATTGCAGCCTTCCAGACAATTCAGTAGTTGGCAAGTATGAGAGTATGACCACGCTCGCCAGTGCAACCCCCAAAAAGACCAAAAGAACAGAGAGAAAAGAAA